TATTATTTTTTTTTTATATTTGTTGTATCTTATATTTTATTTCCTCTTTCATCTGTGGTGGGGGGCAGTCAATTCTTATTTCCTATTTATTTTAGATCGCTTTTCATTTTTATCTTTATTTTGAGTTGACAAAAAAATTTGTTTCAAGTACAAATTGGCTTCTTTTAAAGCATTGCAAGGACATCACAATTAGTTTGAGCAACGAAAGGAAAATGGCTTGCAGCTAGGTATCTAAATATAAACCTCTCTGTGAATCGCACACTGTCATGGTGTGCAAGTGGATAGAAATACTGACGACACATTCTAGTCCAAGAGGTATAGGATTTATGCATTGAAACTACTACGACTGTATAACTGAGAAACCACTGGTTATTAATGCGTGAACAAGGCAGATCCTGTTAATTTTATATTTTGTTCCGAATTATGCAGTCAGCAGCATTAATTGTAGACCCCCAAAAAAAAAAAATCTAGACCAACAGGAAATTATGAGATTGCAAGTTGGCTTAATTAAGTCCTAGTAGGAAAAATTCTAGTTCTTGCTGTCCCTTTGATATTACTGAGTGGTTTGAATCCTTATCTCACGTGATGGATAATTTTTTTCTTCTCACAACTGTCAAGGGAGGGATCTCTTTCAGTAATTGATAACTTAAGCGTATGTTGGACAAAATATAATAGCGGAATTATATAATATTTGTGTATAATGGAAAAGAACAAGCTATTAGTAAACTGTACAGATGAAACAAGAAATAAATTGATTGCCAAAAGAAAACAAATCCGCAAATCGAAGCTTGTGTAAATACAGTGTCCTTAAAACATATTCGCTACCTCACCGTAAATGCTTGAGGTTTTTGTGAGCGTCCGTCTCTCATTATACAACAAAGAAACCTGTACAAATTTTGCACATAATTTCTGCATCGGCGAATTGATTTTGTATCTGAATAACTGGAGATATCAATATCAAAAAGACAGAATTAGGAAAACAGTAACTGAAAGCTATGTATACCGAGAATCCGAGAGAATTTCGTGTCTGGAGTGAAGGAATATGAAATAGACTGTAATAGAGGCATAAAAGTTAGGAGTTACATGTGTTATAACATCTAACACCAATATTAATCCAACTGTATAATTCTCAATTACATAGGTAATAAACATAGCAGTTTTGGAGTTGAAAGTTCAGTTGGAGAAAACAAAATAAAAGCAAAATGGGAACTCTCCTAAGGCCAATTTCTGGTCCATTCGGTTCGACATTCGTGTACATAGGTTGTGCTCGTATACAAGTTCAAAGTTCAATGTACAATTTTGATCCTTGATTTGCGTCTCCCTGCGTGTACGTGGAGGGAGCCTCTATGCCACTGATGATTATACCCTTCCAAAATATAACCATATACAAGGTGGTCATTGCTTTTATAATCTTCCGATGTGGGACAAACTACATATAGTTTTCCTTCCAGCACCTAGTTTCATACGTATGAGACGTTTAAATTTCCCAATTTTATGCGTATGAAACTTGCGTGTTTAAACTCCTTCCAAATGGTCGTGTTTCATACATATAAAATATTTAAACTTTCGAGTTTCATGCGTATGAAACTTGTCTTTGTAGATTCCTTCCAAATGGTTTACTTTGAATTCCAGTTTTTCATTCACCCGATTATCATTTTTGGCAATTAAATTTATGATTTCGATATTCTCACGAAGGAAAACACGAATCAATTTCAATCTTCCAAAATGAATGAACGGGTCCCACTCAAAATTATGTCAAAACAACCCCAGCAAACCATTTTTTCCAACTGCATATTTGTATCCATTTTAGAATATGTTTGGCAACACTTGCTAAAAGTTAAATCACTTTTTATCCATATATTTCATAGAAACAACAAGTACTACTCACTTATCCACCACTTAAATTTATCTGTTTATGAACACAATTGTTCATAAAAACTTGTCAAACATATGCTTAGTATTGATATGCAATTCTTACTCCATTCTTATCCAAAATTACGACCGGAGAATGCATCAGGACCAGTTGGCTACCCTTCCTGTCTTCTGGGCTCTCTTCACTGGCTACAAAACAAGAGAGAATGAATTATGCTTCTTGAAACTAACTTTAACCAAGGCCAAAGCTTTTTGGATATGAAGTCCATCTCTACAATACTGTTTGGCTACTCAAAAAAAAAAAAAAAAGTAATAATAATCTTTTGTTCACATATATGTTTAGGTGACTTATTCTTTTTCTCACTATTTATAAAAAAAGTTATTTATCATGAAAATTCTTACCTCCTATCAAAATAATAACTTATTTCTATCTTTGACCAATAGAAAAAAATTATTGATTTTAAAACTTGCTTAATACTTAATACGTGAACGTTCTTAGCTTTGCCGAAAATGTTCTTACTGATTCCTATTTGTTTCTCTTTAATATGGCACAACACTGTAACTTCGATTTGTTAAACTTCTTTTATTTACCGATTTACATAACTTGAAACACGGATAGGAGTTATCTCATGTTTGCATTGCAGCAGCTATCTAAGCATGTTTATGCCTAATCTGTTTCATCGTGTTACATGGTTATTGTTGCGTGTATGTGAACACATTCCCCTGGCTGAAGGAAGGAAACACGAAAAATGAAGAAGTAAAAGAAAAATCAACTATCCCAAAGCAATGCAATTTAAATCTGACTTCTCATGATATTTTCATTGTGACAGGTTGCTCGTAACCTGGGGAAAACTTTACGGGCATTCCAACCTACAATTAGAGAACTTCAGGTAGCTGTTTGTGACTTCTTAGGTTCCAATGCACATGCTGTTCCTGTGATTTCTGCAATGAGTTTAAATATGTTAAAAACACTTGATTTTTCTTTATAGGATGTTTCAAGAGAATTTAAAAGCACGCTTGAACGAGAAATTGGTCTTGACGAAATTGAAAATCCAGTGAAAAAGAGTCCTTCATCAAACGCCAACTCCGAAGACCCAAAATTGAATGTCGATCCCAGTAAGTATATTTCTTAATAAAATTTGGTTGTCGTCTTACCGTTCAACTTTAGATAGTGATTTACATCTACTTAAGTTGCGTCCATAGCTTTTAATTAATTCATCGTCCATTGATTTTGTTAAATATCGCAAATTCACTGAGTATGAAGAAAACATTTTAAACATAATTTACTCGGAAAAACACAGATATTGTCCAGTGATGGTTTTGGATATCTATAGATGTATTGAAATCTCGGAAATTTGAGTCTCTGGATCGTATAATTTTAAGTTCCCTACTTATACTACAGAAAAATGAAATATTAATCTGGGGGTCTACCTTATTAAGGAGAAAAATGTGGGCATTTATTTCTGGTTTGGTAAGCTGGACAGTATTTGACCATACTAAAGACGAAAATGAAGTCAAAATCTTGTCCATCATATTATTCATTCTATCTCGCCCAATATTGCGTTCAAAACATTCACTTCTCGGATGTAGTTTGACAAAGCAAGTTTCATGCCAGTATTTTCTGAATATTATTTTATGCACGGTGGTTCAAATTAACGACTCCTTTTTGCTTTTAAATCCCCATTCGGATTCTTTTCCCATGCTACATATGGGTTGGGGGGAGGGTAAGGGTATGGAAAGGAAGGGGGAATTTATTAACATTTTTGTCTGGACTAAAATATATATAATATGAAAAAAGGGAAGGGATCTTGATGGATTTTATTATGTCCTTCTGAAATATCAGATGGTTCCCCAGCGCAACCCGAGGATCCCTTAGCAGCGCAACTGAGAAATACTCTTGCTCAGCTGCAGAAAGAGCAAGCTCAGGCTGAGTCTCAAGGTCGGTAAATTATTATCACTTATTATGCTCTCTCTCTCTCTCTCTCGTTCACTTTGGTACAACTTGTTTCAGATACTGCACAAGAAGTTGCTTCAGAAATGCTTCCTACCGAAAAGCCAGAAAGCAATGTCGTTGAAGAAGCTGCATCAGCTGTGGATCCCCCACCTAAGCCTGAGAATAATGCTGTTCAAGTAGTTACACCAGCCGTGGCTACCCAATCGAAGCCCGAAATCAATGAACTTCAAGAAGTTGTTTCAACGGGGCCTCCTCCTTCAAAGCCCAAAAATGAGTCATGAAAAGCTCCTAACAATTTTTTCCTGGAGAAAAGAGTGAACCTCTTCCATTTTCCATTTATCTTATATTTTGTGATAGTCCTTCGGGTTCCTCTCTGGGACGAGTTCCATTTTGTTCTTTAAAATTATATTTAGAGTAAATTACTCGGTCCAATGATCATTTTACTAGTTTTCGTTGAATTAATTATATACAGCTCTTACACGGGCTGTTATAAAATCTGAATAATTACATTATTCAACCGTGTCTAGTATTACGTATGATTGTATGCCATGATTGAGTTGTAATTCTGCGTACAATGGTTGAAGACATCTTGCTATCTTTTTTCGTTCCTTTCATTTCTCAAGCTGACAGAATTTTACTTTTTTGGTTATTGATAGATACAAATATGGACTTTTTACTCTTTTGAATTATTTTTTCTGCTCTGTATAAATTTTCATCTTTTCCGTATAGAAATACGTCAAATGAGTCTTACATTGCTTGCTTTTTGGGAATTACATGTGTCTATTCATTATCAGAACTCTTTATTGTCTGAACCATTCTTGGTATACAATGATAATTGACAACATTGTTCACAACATGTCATGCGTCGTGTTTTCATTTTCAATCAACAGTTTTTTTACACATCAACATTGTCAACCAAGGTTGTCATCCAAAATTGTACAAATAACATAATTGTTATAGTTGTGTCCCAATTAAGAACTTGTAAAATTAATAAACCATACGAAGTTAAAAACTTGTTAATAGTAGTATATATGTGCGGAAAACAGTGAAACTAGCTCCGTGAAGTAAAAATCGACTATTATGTTTTTCTCCGAAAGTTTAACAAGCTATATTAGCTGTGTGAGGATTTTAGAGTAAATAACTCTCTTTCTTCTCTATAATAGCATCATCGCATGAGAGCATTCCTCGGTCATGTCCAGATCGACTCATATAAATTGAAATTGTATGCTTCGATTTTGGCACCTGCATCAAGGGCCTAAGAAACGAAAATCTTCTCACATTTCTTATTTAAGATATGTCAATTTTGTTGTCTTTCCCAATTCATTCGTCAATCAGAGTTGTCATATTCGGACAAAATTAAAATGAATACCAAACAGAGGCTAAAACTGCTAATTGTGCTAGTTATGTCATTTTTCCGCCCAATCAAACATGGACTCTCTCCGCTCCATCTAAAGAGACCATATACCCTAAACCACCCCAATTTCTAAACCCCTCTCTCTACAGTTCGTTCTGTGCTCTGTACAATGCTTTCTCGCATCATCTCCAAATCTTCGCACTTCCAGAGTTTCCGAACCCTAATTTCATCACAAGCCTACATCTTAAATCCGAAACCCATATCCCGAAACCCCTCCTTTCCGGTTTTCACCTTCCATTTATCCTCCCAAACCCCTAATGTTTCTTTTTTCTCCACAAATAGAAACGGTAATGGAAAATTTGGTGACGATTCAGCAACCTCAACTTCAGATTTGTGGAAGCTAAACTCAGAAATTGATCAAGATATTGACTCTGTGTTTTCTGTAGAGTCTGGAACTCTAGAGGGGATCCATGATCAAAATGCTGAAGAAATGAAAAATGGTGATGATGGGATAAATGCTATGTTTAAAGGGGTTGAAGAAAAGAGCGGAAATGATGGGGAGAGTGATATATTTAGAGGGGTGGAAGAGAAGATTGATGGTGGAGGCCAGGTTTGGACCACCACGGAGGAGAATGAGCCGTGGAGTTTCACTGCTGGGGGAAAGGATGGTGAAGATGAGGATTTGTTTGGTGTTGGAGAGGAGAAAGGAGAAATGGGGTTGAGTGGCTTAGAAGGTGTCAGGGAGTTGAGTGTAGGAAGTAAAAAGAGCGCCGAAGAGGAGCAGCTCGAAGTTGAAGAGAAGGCTCTCACTGCTGTACTCAAAGGCAAGATTACTTCCCTTTGTAATTTGTTATTTGTACAGTTCCAATATATTTGTTTCTTAACGTTAATTCAGCTTGATGGCATTGCCTGTTAAGTTAGATTCAGATGTTCAATTGTCGGACTTGTTTGTTGGGTTTAATACAGAATTTAGGTGGTTTTGGTTTGGTTAAATGGTAAAATTAGGTTCTTTTGGAGTTTATATGCATGGATAAATATTTCTTTGTGTTCAGGGAATTTTGGCAATGGGATAAGTGAGAGGGATAGTATTTGAGTTTATAGTTTGATGATGGTTTCTTTATTGTTTATAACGACTTTAGTGTGTTGATGTTCCATGTATGAAAGGTATGTAGGCTTATTCTTGTATCTGATAATTCTGGTTGCTTATTGAGAGTTGACATTATACTTTGGCGTGTAGGATTCAAGACTAGTCATGACTAGAAACTCAGATTGTATGTATCTCTAATGTGGTGGATTTTCACATCAGTAGACCTTTTTTCTAACATCCAATGGGTATTTCTGCTGTGCTTCAAAACAGTATCATGGTTGAAGCTTTTAATTGTTGGTTCATGCCCACTAGTTCTTTTCACAGCAGTAATATTGTTATACCAAACATTTTTTACTATTTTATTGTTTATCGTTGGTCACAAATAAAAAATCATAAACTGGATCACAATTATAAATAACTTAGAGGTCAAGAGCTGAAGTTGCTTTGGATAGGTCATGTTACTATCTTGATTTTTCAGCTGAATTGTCATTATTATCTTGCCACTATATGTACCATCTGGCTCGATGGTTTAGCTTTTTGTCCTTTTGATTCAACTCGTAAATTAAAACTAAGGGTTTGCAATTACCACATATTTTGATTCTGGCTCATCATATCTCTTCAAGATCCACTCAGTTCCTATTATGCTCAATCTTTTGAAGATGGGTTATAGTTGTCTAGGTTTTGGAAATACAACATATGGATACATGCAATACTAAAACTCTATGAGAATTTTCTTTTATAATTCTACTCCTTTTATTCCCTTCTCATTTGCATTTTTTATGCAGAATGTTTCTCCATAAAGCTCCATTAGAAGTTTCTTTCACAATTCTACTCCTCAGACATCCTACAATTGTGGCCTTTACACACGTGAAGGTTCTTACAGAGTGGAATCTAGTTTTTTGTGTGCATGGTGGTTGGGGGGGATATAATTGAATGGCTGTGCAATAGCAAAGTCTACCAATTTTCTTATACAGGTCATCTATGTACAATAGTAATTGAAGATAACATTCATCATCACATCACTCTTTCAGGTCCAAATCGTGCATTTGGGGATCTTATAGCAGCATCTGGAATCACAGATGCTATGTTAGATAATTTGATTGCTTTGAAAGACTTTGATGGCATTCAAGGACTGCCCCCTCTAAGGGATATTGAAGATCTGCGTTACGAAAAGAACACCAGAAAATCCAGTAGAGCTGAAATAGAGCGCCAGAAACAGGAAGAAGTTGCCAATTCACGTGTCAGACAAGTAGACGATAAGGGAAGGGCTTATGGAACAGGGAGGAGGAAATGCAGCATAGCCCGTGTCTGGATTCAACCTGGTGAGGGTAAATTTGTAGTAAATGACAAAGAATTTGATGTGTATTTCCCGATGCTTGATCACCGTGCTGCTCTTCTTCGGCCTTTCTCTGAAACTAAGACTTTGGGTATTTGGGATGTCAATTGTACTGTTAAAGGAGGTGGCGTATCAGGTGAGCATTGATTGTATATTCATATCTTTGATGCGTATTCAGTTGGACCGTTGAATTACAGTATTTTTCATGTAATCTGGGATTAGATTGGATCTAGGCTTAGACCAGGAGAAAGTGAATACAAGTGGGGCCTGTGTGCTAGCCAATATGTCTCCCTCTGCCAAGGGGGGCGGGCATCACTAAGTTGCTTATATAGTCGTGTTAAAACCCTTGTTGATCCAGTATCAGTCCTGTCTAATTCTGACATGCAGCCCTGATTTGAAAAATTACCATACCATCCTTCAAGTTATGGAGCTGTACTGTGGACTCAATGGACACATGAAATCAAAGCTCCAATGGTCGAAACTTAGCTCTAAATCATTAGTTTTTGCTATTTACTCAGGTCGGAAACTGCAGTCTTGAATTGTAACACAATTACGCATTTCAAAACCCAATTGTAGTTGGAAATTCATTCATTTATATTTCCAGTTATATATCTTGATTGTATGCTGCTTGTACTGTACATTATGTAGTAATAGAAGTCCGCATTTTCAACAGGTCAAGTTGGCGCCATCCGTTTGGGCATCAGCAGGGCATTGCAAAACTGGGAACCAGGCTTGCGTCCTCCTCTCAGAGACGGTATGACTTGTTGGATCATATACTTATTTTTTCTCAATTTTTGTAAGCCAATGAAATACTTTTATCTCCTAGATCAGGTTTTGTAGGAAATGCATGCATTATTAATCTTTCCAAATTTTCACTTTCACACTCAAATATAGCCCCTGTTTAGGCTCAATTTTGCCAAAAACTCATTTTCAACCACATATTTTTCTGTAATTTTACATGTAAACTCAAAACTTTTCCTTTTTATATAATCACATATTCTCTAAAAAATCACTATTCCAAAAACAATTTTTCCCCAAAATGGGGCTCAAACAAGTTCCTGTGCTTGACATTTTGATCTTGTTCTCGAGCATGATAGTTTGACACTTCTTAATTCAGCTGGTTTTCTCACGAGGGATCCAAGAGTTGTGGAAAGGAAAAAGCCAGGTAAAGCCAAAGCAAGAAAGAGCTTCCAATGGGTCAAGCGTTAATGGAGGGTCATGCATTCTTATTCTGATGCTCTCAGCTATCTATGGACACAATTGTTTTGCTTCCTCGCAATTAGTATAACAAAAAGTGTAGTCAAAAAGTTTTTCCACATGCAGCATGGCATGAATTTTTTTTTTTCGACCTCGGTATATGATCATATCAATTTCTTCTTCTTCTTCTTCTTCTTCTCTCTCTCTCTCTCTCTCTCTCTCATGGAATATTACAATTTTCACTGACATATTGTCTTCCCTTCTCCCTGGGTTGTAGGAGCTGGACTATTCTCAATTTCCTTAGCTTTTATAATTGCGCTTGTAATGGAATAAACGTTTGGAAACCTAGTGTTAGGGTCTTTATATGAAACATTTAATTGGCTGTGCTGCTTGTCTCCTTTTGGTGGGGCACACAGTAGAGTAGACAAGATTTTAATTATATTTTTTGTTACTGCTGTATGATCCATCAAACTGAACAAGTTATTATGCAAGTGAATGGACGACTGAAATTGGTCAGTGCAATGCTTGTGATACAAAAATAAAATCAATGAATTTTTTGTTCATATTCTTATAATTAGAGTCGGGTTTTCTCTATGAAGTTGTCTATCGAAGCTAATTTTTATCTTGAAGATGCTAATCTACTTATTTACTAATCCAGTTCAAACATTAAAGATCTCAGCTCTCATTTTTTGAAGGTCAAACGAAAATTAAATTTGGGGGATTGGACCACCCGTAAAGATTAACTCTGAGCGATTTGTATCGTATGTTCATTTCCTTTTACAAACAATAAATCTTTTCGTAATAAAAGAGCCTCCGCGCTCTCTACCCCGCCATCTACATAGACGGCTTGCTTTTATCATTTAGACGAAAAAAATATTCGTATCTTAAGAATTGAACAGGCCTTTAGAGAAGAATAGTGATTTTTCGATAATTTTTAGGATTTTTTTAATGAAATTTAAGGATTTGGTATTATTTTAAAAATGAAAAAGTCAAGTGATTGAAAGTGAAGTTTGTTACGCAATCATTGTGGGAGGATTGTTCAACGTCGATAGCAACAGCTTTGAGGCACGTCACTATAAAATAAAAGAGGCAAAACATTGGCATACCACGTGTCACGATTTCCTATCATCGTCAAAATTCAAATTTTTTTCATCGTTTCCTCCACACGCTTTGCTTTCTCCATTTCCAACACAAATCTGACACGCCACTTTGTCTTTGCTCTTTCTCCATTTTTCCACTCGACCAACTATACATCTTTACTCCTGCATTCCCCACATTGACCCATATCGTAAGATTTCTCATTTTTGCTTTTTTTTTTTTTCTCCCTGCGCTATATGCTGCTCTAATTTTGTCAATAAATTTCCGTTTGACCATCCTAAAACCTTTTGTTTTGCAGGGTTTGAAGTTCTCATTGTCTGACCTATGAAATTGAGAAAGAGATTGCTCAAAATAATGATTGAAATAAGGTATTTTCGTACCTAATACCAATTTTTTGTTATGAATCTGGGTATGGTAGATATGTTTGTTATTTCGTTTCATTGTTTCCATATCAATGAAGTGAAACTTTTTGAAAGATTTTTAATCTTTTTTACTTGAAAATGTTATAGGCAATTTCAAACAACATACACCTCGTTAAGATATGTGCTTAATATACACACACATTGTATTTTGATTGAATGCAATAAAAGATAGAGTTTCAGAGACTCCCCATCATCTCAAACGTCAGATCAAGAACCCGAGGTACCTTTTCTGTTTTTTCTTCTATGAGTGAATATCTAATTGAGTCCAAAGTTTGAATTCATTGTGATATTTTTTATGATTTGAGAATTAATAAAATTGTTTCTTGTATTTGATATGTAAAAAATGGATTCTTGGATACAATGTGTGTGTAAAGAAGTAAAATTTTGTGAATGCTTGAGAATGGTTTTTAGCTCATGATGTTAATTGAGTTTATAATTTGATTTTATTTGGGTGTAATGTGTGTGTATGAAAATGTAATTGGTACATCGCAGGAAAGTGAACGTTTTGTCATTCATTGAAGGTTTGATTTCTTCCCTTCTAAAAATTCC